CTAAGGACCATTTCGCTCTTCATACCATGTTTGAACTAGGAGGTGGGTGAGAATGAGTGCCGATTAGGTAAGAGGGAGGGGTACAAGACTATCGAGAGAAATGGGTTGTACCCTCTAAGGAATGACCCCTACACAACCTAGAGAGAAATGAATAGAAATATGTTTTGACAATAAAAAGGCCGTTTGAGAGAGAGAGAGAGAGAGAGAGAGAGAGAGAGAGAGAGAGAGAGAGAGAGAGAGAGAGAGAGAGAGAGAGAGCGAGAGAGAGAGAGAGAGGTACTAGGAGCCTTTCCAACCTCTCATAATCTATCCTGACCTCTCCCACCTAGCACATAGGGTGTAGGAGCTGTTATTTCTTGTCATTGTTCACTGTTGGATTCCTTTTCACAGAACCCAGCAACTCGTGCTGGCTGCCTTCAGCGGCCGACGCTCAACAGCACCTCCGACGATCTAGGCCAGCGCAGCGAATGGTGCTTTCACCAATAGCTGAGAGGAGGGAAGCAGTAATTTAAGCATGGTTAGGATGGCTCATTTGGGGCGCCATTGTATGGTGTGAACATTCAGGCCTGACAGGCCCTTCAGGTAATTTTCCAGATCATGGGTTACAGCAATTTTGAGAATGAGAGGTTTAGAATGATGATTCCGCACATACATTCATCCACACAATCTGTTATTACAACTCATAGCAAATTATATTTACACGTAGTTTCCAATTTACGACATCCTTCATGTGTTGGACTTTTCAGCTACTGAGCAGCGGCACCTGCGCTGACAACAACAACAGGCACCCCCCACCTCTCGCGGAGCCTGTGCCGAGCACACGATAATATGTTCCAATGAAATTGGTCATACATAATCACCTGGAACGGTCAATCTTGAATGGACTATGACACGCTGTTCATGCAAGGCTGCCCGATTGACCTGAAAATCGCCTGATTTATATATTTCTCTCATGAATGCAGCCGAAATCCAATAAAAATGTTTATTGTATTACTCACCCATTTTTGCAGAGCAAATCGACCGAAAATCCTTTGTCAGGTGAGGACCTTACGGAATACCTGAACCATCTGCACTCCAAGTGTTGCCTCTAGCTACAGTCCTACCATCCTCAACCATGGACTTCCCGCCAGGTACCCCGCCAAGTGCGTCCATCCGAATGAAATGCCCGCAGCGCATTCCCACAGTTTCCCGCAGCGCGCAAGAAATGGAAGTAGGGAGGGACATTCGACTTGTGCGCGATGGATCCGAGTCATATCGCTCTTTCTTTCAAAACTGCACCGTACTGAACAGCTACGTAACGCCCACATGTCGAATACTCATTCCTCTCATGTTCAAGAATTCTTGCTCAGCATAAAACGCTGCTTCATTTCTTCACTTACGCAATCGAGCATTCAAGCTCTGTTTTCCACCTCGTCAACGAACCAGTATTGTCCGCAGCACGACCAATTCACCAGCTAGGCGTTCCAGTCCACGATGGGGTTCCAACGTTACCTTGGCGTATCGATTTTTCTCTTGATCGTCACCGAATATGTCGGTGAGTGAGGCGACTTACCTCGCATGTCCAGTCTATTTCAAGCAACAAAATCTCACGAGCTTGCTTCCATGCGCAGCGACAACCGCGGCAGCGGCCGGGAATGTGAAGACCGTTGGCGCGGGCCCGTGCCCGTTTCCCAGTCGCGAAAAAGCTGCGACTCTCGGAAATTTGACGGGTGAGATAAGGAGGAGAAAATTTCGCGAATCTTGCCAAAGTGGCGCCCGTGGCGTGGTTCAAACTTCTTCCCGGCGCAGCTGCGCACAGGGACCCAGGGCCTTCCAGTTCTTCTCTTCTTGCGCCTCTGTAATCCTCGACTTTCCTATCTCTCTCCCACGTCGTTCCTCCGCTCCTCTCTTCTTCGCGCAGCTATTCTTGCCGCCCGACTCAACGGATCTGAAACGGTTGGATCGACAGGCGACAGCGGCGCCAGCGGTCGAATCTGCCTCGCCATCTTCCAGTAAGCCCAACTGCCACCATCGTCATGAAGGAAATGGCCCAAATTTGCTTGCCGAATGTTTTCCAAAAGACTTTTCCGTTACTTTCCCGGTCGTGCCATCAGAGTGTGATACCTCATCGTCGCTTTTCATTTCAGAAACGAGCAGTTCCCGGAATTCTGAAAGTCCATCTAAGTAACGAGCTCCAGCCCGTTTTTTCCTCAGTCCTAGCTGGTCATTTGAGCGGTCACCGTTGCAGGGTGCTATTTTCTCTTGAAGCAATACAAACCCCATCCCTTGGCTCGTTTGTGCGAACCCTAAATGATTCCGTCAGGCTAAACGGAGATTATAACGTCTTCTACCATGCGCTCGTTGCCACCTCCAAACCGGGTGCGCCGACCACCGCCTACATCGCGCAAGGCTCGGCGGGAAAGGCAGGGACCGCCTTCATCATCAAAATTGCCGGCCCCAAAGCCAAGTGGAATAATAAAACTCTTCTGCGCCAGCCTACATACAAATATGCCAAACAGGGGATGTGGCTTAAAGCAAGTACGCTCCCGTCCTCGATTAAGCACGTGTCGATTAAGAAACTGCTGGACGCGATGAGTTCGGCAGCGAGCGGGTATTATGGGGCATTCACGACAGAGTCTTTTACGGCAGGAGCAGCGAGGGGGCAGTTTAAGAATGATCCTCTTCCGCCGTCGCCTGGTGGGAAAGAGGGACTCGTTCTAGTTGGTAAGAAGCCTTTGGCTCTTCGACATTTTCTCGCCGCTCGCTCTCATTGATTCTGTCTCTTTTCCGCCTCAGTCTTCACCACCATCACTCTGCCATCCTCACCCACACTCCGCCATCTAACACTCCCCCGCTCTCACCCTGTCTTCCCCAACCCTCACGCTCTCCGTTGATGTCAATCCCGCGTTCGTTCAGGGGTGGTGGGGGCCAACCTTACGGACAGAAATGTTAACCCCAGGGTCCCTGGGGACATGTACGGCATAGGCTGCGTTTCTATCGCCGCCTTCCTGTAAGGCTCTCCTCCATTCCCTCCTCCATTCCCTTTCTCATTCTCTTCTCCCTTCTCTTGTTCTCTAGTTCTCTCAGTCGTCCCTCTTTTCGCCCCTCCACTCTTCTCACCCTCCCCCTCTCCCCTCACTCCTCCCACCCTCCCCTTCTCCCCTAATTCTTCTCACCCTCCCCCTCTCCACCCACTCTTCTCACCCTCTATCACTTTTTTTCCCAATTTCATGGTGCAAACCACTGCCCTCCATACACACCTACTCGTCTCTGCCCAGACCTCACTCGTCCCGTCCCATCCTTGCCTTCTCCTTGCCCTCTCCTAGCCCTCTCCGTGCCCGTCCTTGCCGCCATCACTCTCAGCAACACCACCACAAACGACTATGACATTTGTTACCGCGTCAGCTTGACACTGCAACCCTCTGTCCCCTCCTTACCCCTCCGTGCCCCTCCTTACAATCACCCCCTTTACTAGGAACACCACCACAAACGACTACGTCATTCGTTACCACGTCAGCATGAATACAAGCGACTCTGAGGGGCCAAACGAGGTTCTTGTCCTCCAAGGCTTAGACGTGCCACTCACTCTGGTCAACGGAAGCGCCACGTGGACCAATTGCACGTCCCCGGACGCTAATGTGGTTGGCAAGTACATGTACGAAATCACCGGCACTATTCCGGGGACATACAAGCCGTTGATGAATGGAATGCTGGCTGCGCCTCAAGCGTATTCTGCTGTTCCCTTCACAAGCTATTTTGACATGGGTGCACTGAGGGGTTGGTTTGTCAATACTACACTTGCAGGAGGGAATGGTTGCGCTATAGTCTAGAGGGGCGAAAAGCAGAAACGAGAACACTAAAATATGATGCACCTTGAGCGTCAGATCCAGAAGCTGTTAGTGATGTGTGTGTATAGTGTGTTGGGACACAGTGTGACCAAGTTTGTGTGTGTATTTTGTATAACTGTAACTATACATACCATATGTACAATACTGGTACCTGTACAAAGGTTGCCATGGCACTCATTTCGCTCCACACCAGCACCAGAAACATGGTTGAGTGGTAGGACTCATGCATATGCATGCGCATCTGCACCTGCACAAGCACGCAGACACACATATGCGCATGCAAATGTGCACACACATCCGCATGCAGATGTACATGCACATGCTATGAGTGTATACACGCAAATGCATACCATATACGCATTCACATTTTTATCGAAGTGAGTGCATATTCCTGCAGTCTTGAGACCTCAAGGATGCACACGAGCAGGAGTTAATGCTCCTCAGCTACCCTTACGTATGTTGGCAGTACCACGACCACACACAATTTTTAACAAGGCGGGGAAGGTGGCAACCAACCGCATCGGATGGCAAGACAACTAATGACCCGACGTTTGCCATGAGGACGGCAACGCACGGGTATTATGGGGGATTCAAGACGGCAAATTCTACGTTGGGAACAGCGCGCTGGAAGTTTACAAATGACCCTCTCCCACTCGTTCTAGTTGGTGAGAACCCTTTGGCTCTTCTACATTTTCCGCCGCGCCACTCTCTCGCTCATCTTTTTCTGTCATCTCAACTCTTTTCCACCACAGACTCCACCTTCACTCCCACGCCTGCTCTCCCCCTCGCTCCCACCCCTTCCATTCTCTCACTATCACTCCCCCACCTTCACCATCACCCTCCCACCCACCCTCACCGTCTCTCCCACACCCTCACCATCTCTTCCCCACTCTCACCGTTAACTTCACTCCCACAGTCGTTCAGGGGTGGTGGGGGCCAACCTTGCGGACGTGGACACTCCCTTCATCCATGTATGGGACATGTATGGGACAGCCTGCGTTTCTATCGCCGTCTTTCTGTAAGCCTCTCCTGCGTTTCCTTTCTCCCCTCTATTCTCTTCTCGCTCTCTCGCTGATCCCGCCTTGGTACCCTCTCTCTCCTTCCCAACCTTTGCTCCCTTCTCTTCTCCCCTCCCTTCCTCCTTCAACCTCTCACACTTTCCTCCCTTAACCTTCATTCCCACGATCCCCTCCCTTCTGTCTTTGCTTTCTCACCCCCCCCTTCTTCCCTCCCTTCCCCCTTCACTCTCTCACACTCCCTCTGGTCTTCCCCCACTCTCTCACCCTCTCCTCCTCCCTCCACTCTCACACCCTCTTCTGCTCACCCTATTCTGCCGCGCAGTGTCAAACGGGTAAGACACCATAGTAACTGTTGTCGTTGCTGCCTGTGCCAGCATCCACATCAGCCAAAACGGTGCATGCCCCAACCCGTTTATGCTCTCATCCCCATCTCCACGCCCATCTCCATGCTCACGCACATGCCCATGCTCATGCCAATGTCCATGCCCGTGCCCATGCCCATGCCCATGCCCATGCCCATGCCCACGGCTCAAACCCAGCCCATCCTTGCTCCCAACCCCATCTTCTTCTCCAGCTGTCCCCTTCTCTCCTCTCATCGCCACAATGTTTGCCCCACCCATTTCTCCCCCCCTCTCCTGCTCGCGTTCCCCCTCCTCCTCCCCCTCCCACTCCTCCTCCCCCTCCTCCTCCCCCTCCCCCTCCTGCTTGGCACTATGGAACCCGCCAAAGCACAGACTCCTATGCACGATAATCCCATGTAAAGACGCAGTAAATCCGCGATATAAGCCTCTGATCCCCTCCGCTCGCCAGAGCGCCTCTATAACGGGTCGCATGCCTGCAAACTGACTGCGTGTACCTATATCGGTGGCCAGGCACGTGTGTGTCACGTCTAGAGGGTAGGTCCGTGACTAGGAGGATCCTAGCTCCTGCTGCTGGGCCTGCCAGGACGTTTCCTGCTGCGATTCGCGTGGCGGAAGGCATGTGAGAAGGAGAGACGGGGCGAAGAGAATGTGATAGTAGTCCTGCGCGCAAAAGAGGTGGGGCGAAAACGTGAGGTTTGGGGTAGGACAAAGGTGGGAGTGCGTAAGGGGGGAGAGAGGGGAAGGGGGCTACTGTGAGAAGGTGAGACGGGCCGAAGAGAAGACAGGGTGGAAGACAAGGGGAAGGAGAGGGCATGGGGGGGGGAACAGAGGGGGGAACAGATGGGGTGGAGGTTCAGGGAGGGAAGTAGGGGATAATGATGCGAAGTTGAGCGCAGGCGACAGGTAACATTGGTTTGCAATCCGCCAGAGCGTCGCTATAACGGATCACAAGCCCGCAAACTGCCTGCGCCACACACACAATCCGACAGGTGCCACACACACAATCAGACATGCGCCACACACACAATCAGACATGCGCCACACACACAATCAGACATGCGCCACACACACAATCAGACAGGTGCCACACACACAATCAGACATGCGCCACACACACAATCCGACAGGCGCCACACACACAATCAGACATGCGCCACACACACAATCAGACAGGCGCCACACACACAGGGACGCCTCACAGTCCCCATAGACTCAAATTGACCGCATAGACCCAAAATGACCGCATAGACCGCATAAACCTAATTGACCGCAAAGACCGTATAAACCAAATTGACCGCATAGACCGCATAGACCTCTAGCGGACTGACCTTCAAGGTGAGAGACGGGTAGCGCGAGAGACGGGTAGTAGCGCATAACACACGCCGGGTAACAGTGTGTAACGATTCCTCGCCACACACACAGAGACAGGTTCTAAGAAAAGAGTGTGAGTAGAATAGAGATCTGCGAATGAATCACAGAGTAGGATACCCATCACATCGGCGTGTGGTCCCGTAGCAAAAGCAAAGAGATACTACTCACGCAAAGAGGGGGTTTTCTTACCCATAAATCTTATCCGCACTCTTTCTTCATGAAGGTTCCAAGAGGTGGAAGGAAGACGGTCGCGATGATTGCACCAACATTTTAGAAATCTGACATTGTACTTAATCGTCTGTTATTAAACAACCGCAAGAACGAAAAGAAAAGAAACGTTGGCGAAAGATCAAGCATCGGTTCTCATATACGATCATTGGATGTCAGGTGGTGATTGGGACGCGACATCGCAGAGATGCTGTGGCAATACATTTGAGAAGGTAACCGCATCTGCAGGATCGTTGCACGCGATGTTCTCGATGGAGGGCCCGTAATATACACAAAGCTATTACGGTGGAGCCGGATTGGGAGTATGGAACAAATTGGAAGAATTTGATCTAGGCTACTCAGACAGGGACCGACCAAAGAAGAGGTAAAACGTGTCTAGTATGTCCACCTCGAAGACTCTTGCTCCGGCGGTTCTGATGCGGCCTTCATGCTGAGAATCACGTGAAGTTGATGACGCCTGTGTGAATGGCTGAAATTCTGCTCTGTACGTGTGCAGGCTGCGAATGGATTGTTTTCGTACGAAGTGACAGGCATTCGCGAATATAGGCACCAAAACCTTCCAACGAAAACTGCGTTACTACAAACTAGGCACCAAAACCTTCCAACACCAAATTGCCATGCGGAAAACAGAGAGAACCCTACTGACAGATCGGTGGGCGGGGAAAACTGCCTGTATGGACTTGATTGGCTGGCATTGGTTGCACTGACTGACCTGCCTGAACATTTGTGCAGAAGCCCGACAGGGGAAGTGGTTTACACGGTGGCTTGGAACGTTTCCACGCGGTGGAAAGCGAGTATCTTAATTCACCGTTTTACACCGCGACGAAACATCACGAACCGCTCAATTCCCCGACAATTTCGCAGTTGTGTGTGGAAGTTTCTCCTGATACTTGAACTCCCTGGCGGGAAACCAAAACTGCAAGGCCTTGATTGGCTGGCAGGCTTTGCACCGTGCAGTGAGCGAGATTTCCAGCATTCATATGTGGGTCACATGCACTTTATTACAACTCATAGCCAATCAGGTGTACAGTACACCGAATTCAAGTTACGTCTCTTTCAGCTGTATGGATTTTTGCTGCTGCGGAGTAGCGGCATCTGCGCTGATGAGACGACCCGAGCCGACCTCTGTGGTGAAGCCTGGGCTGTGCAGGGCACACGAAGTACAGGATGCTGAATGCTGATAAAGTTCCGTGCTCTGCGGAGATGCGTCCATAGCTGCCCAATTGACCCGAAAATCACACGGAGCGTTTAGGTCGCGTGTCTTCTGCAAATTTGGGTTAAGTTCATGTTTTTTTCTCGAATTTTCACATTTGAACTTTGGTCGACCTGAGGTCGACCATATCTACTTCTGGTGGTTGAGGAGCACCATCAACAAGTCCGAGTCGCGCATGGAACAACAAAGTTTGACAAATCATAGTTCAACTTTAAACAGTAAATACCGAGTCGCGCTAAACTTTCGTAGGTTCGGTTGGGCGGTGTAGTTCGTTACCGTATATTACGAGTGCAATTGAGTGAGCGAGCGAGGATTGCACTATCGAAGCAATAGTACAATGAGCGAAGGCATGAGCGAAGAATATATAGCGAAACTACAGTGGTAACGGTAATGAACTGTGGTTCTCGCGCGACGGGCCTGGGACTGAGGTTTGGGGAAATGTCGAAGCAGTGGCCCGGAGCGCGGGTTACCCGCCGAGCTGTGAGGTCGGGGTGCGACGTGCGAAGGTGGCGGGAGGATTGTCGATGCGAGGGTTGCGAGTGGTAACGGTGCTGACTGTGGTGCTACAGTGGTGTACGCGCTGAACAGGGACGCGAAGTAAGGAAAATGAATTTTCCTTACACTATCCCCCCCCCCCCCCGCTTAAGGAGGTCCTCTTTACGAAAGTGCGTGTACATCCCTGAAGTTCCGGCTGCGCAGATACTCTGTGAGGACGGGGTGGTTTTCGACTCTGTCCAGGGGAACCTTGTTGTCTTCAGTGGGTGTACGGTCTTTCCAGCGGATCAGGAACTCGATCCTTTGGGCTCCTCGAGGGTCACGAACTCTGTGGCTCAGAATTTTCTCGGGTGTGATGATTGGTTCAGTCGGCGGTCGTGTCATGCTGGCTGGGCGATTTCGTGGCAGTTGGCTTGTGGATGGGACGTAAGGGCGAAGCAGGCTGACGTGGAATGAGGGGCTGACGTACCAGTCAGCGGGGAGGAGGAGGTGGGCGGTGACGGGCGTAATCATGTGGCTTATGCGAAATGGCCCGCAATATCAGGGGCGGAGTTTTGGGATGATGAGTAGTCGGAGGTTTCGAGTGTCGAGTAAAACTAGGTCGTCAGGTTGGTAAGTGACGGGTCGGCGGTGGCGGTCGGCGTTACGTTTAGCGATGATGTTTGATTTTTTTTATTGCGTCTGCTGCCCGGGTCCGTGCTGCTTGTAAAATTTCGGCGAACTGTTGTGCTCGTGGCATCGGGTTGTCGGGATTCGGGGTCATGGGTACTGTCGGGTCTTGTCCGTAGTTCAGGTAAAATGGTGACTGTTGGGTCGTGGCGGACGGTGAGTTGTTGTATGCGAACTCAATGAGTGGCAACTGTTGTTCCCAGGTGGTTGGGTCGTCGCACGTGGCTCGGATGAGTTGCTCCATAGTCTGGTTTGTCCGATCTGTCTGTCCATTGGTTTCGGGGTGGTACGAAGAACTGAACGGTAGTCGCGTGCCGAACTGTTGCCACATGTTCCGCCAGAAGTTGCTGGTGAATTTTGTGTCGCGGTCGCTGATTATCGCTGCTGGTATCCCGTGCAGTCGAACGACGGTGGAGATGAAGAGGTGTGCTGTTTCTTCGGCTGTGATTGATTTTTTGCAGGCTGCGAATTGTGCCATTTTCGTCATTCGATCGACGACGACCACGATCGCGTCGTTCCCACTCGCCCCGGCCAGTAACCCCGTGACGAAGTCCATCGTCACCTGCTGCCAAGCACGCTCTGGGGGTGGTATCGGCTGCAGCTGTCCTGCCGACCGCTGCCGTGATGATTTCATGGGTTGGCAAGTGGGACACGATGCCACGTGTCGTTGTACGTCGATCAACATTTCGGGCCAGTAATAATACCGCTGCAGCTGCTGCCGTGTTTTCTCTACCCCGAAATGCCCCGAGGTGACTCCGTCGTGTGCCTCCTGTAATAGCAATTCCCGTAGCAGTGTATACCCGGGCACCCAGATGCGGTCGGTCCCGGCTTTTACGTAATAGACTCCTCTTGCTGCTGCGAACTGCTGCGAATTTCCTCCTGTGAAGAATGGATCCGTTTGGTACCCGTGGGTAAATAGGCCTGTCAGTAGGGGGCTGGTCTGGGCGAGTAGTATTGCATGGATCTGGGCAGTGGGGCGGGTCAGTGCGTCGGCGATGTTCGAGGCTCCCTTTTTGCAGGTGACCGTGTAGTGAAAATTGGATTCGAGAAATTCGAGCCAGCGAATCTGTCGTGGGTTGAGGTGTGGCTGTGCGCGGAGGTACTGTGGTGATTTATGGTCTGTCCGTACTGTCACGTCTGCGCCGGTCAAGTAACAGCGCCACACTTTGAACGCGTGCACGATCACAAGCATTTCGCGGTCGTGTATTGGGTAATTTTTCTCGGGCGGATGCAGTTTTCGTGACTCGTATACGATGGGTTGTAGGCCATTGCCGAAGTCCTGTAGCAGTACGGCTCCGATGGCGATGTCGCTTGCGTCGGTAACTACTTCGAATGGGCAGTGTGGGTTGGCGATGCACAGGGCGGGAGGTGAACAGAGAACATTTTTCAGGGCAGAGAAGGCAGCATGCTCTTTCTCCCCCCACATAAAAGCAACCCCCTTCCGTAACAAGTTCGTCAGCGGCGCTGTTAACCGTGCCATGTCGGGGACGAACCGACGCACGTAATTGACGAACCGTAAAAAGCTATGTAGTTCTGTGATATTCGTCGGGGGGTGCCAGGCTTTCACCGTGTCTAACTTTTTGGGGTCAATTTCGACTCCAGCCTCCGAAATAACGTGCCCCACAAACTCTAGCCGATCCTGAAAAAACTCGCACTTGGAACCCTTTGTGAGGAGCCGATGCTCGTCTAAAATCTTAAACACTGCTTCCAGATCTGCTAAGTGCTGCTGCTTGTCGCGACTGTAGACGAGGATGTCGTCGAGGTAAACTATCACGCATTTATCTAAAAGTGGCCTAAACGCCTCATTCATGGTCATCTGAAATGTCGCTGGTGCGTTGGTTAGCCCGAAAGGCATCACGGTGTACTTGAATGACCCGTACCTAGTCCGGAAAGCTGTTTTGGTGCAGTCGATGGTTTGACCCTAATCTGATGGTAACCTCCCCGTAAATCTATTTTCGAAAAAACCCGTGCTGTTCGCAGTTGGTCGATCAGTTCGTCGGCGCGGGGAATGGGGTACCGCGACTTGACTGTTACCCTGTTGAGCGCTCGGTAATCGATGCACATGCGAAACCCTCTGTCTTTTTTTGGCGTGAACAGTATCGGTGCGGCGAACGGTGACGAGCTCGGTCGGATGAATTTCTTCGCTAATAAGTAATCTAACTGCTTCCTCAGTTCGTCGAGCTCGGGTTGTGTCAGTCTGAACTGTCGCTGTACAGTTGGCTGTGCCCCCGATTCTAATTCCATTCGGTGGTCATGTGCTCGCTGAGGTGGCAGTCCTTCCCGTAAGTCGTCGGGAAAAATCCCGGGGTATCGTTTCAACAGTTCCAGTAGTTCGGGCGGTACTGCTGCCAGCAGTTTCTTGAAATCACTCGGCTGCTCTGCTCCCTCTACCACTGAAATGTCTACTGTGTACACGTCAACTCCAGCAGCGACAGCCCGTTTCATGGTGACGGCGTTGACGTGTACCGTTGAAGACTCGGGCGACTGCCAGCGAGGTAGCTCAACCCAGTTACCGCTACTTCGCACAGTGCAGCTACCCGTCGTCCAGTCAATTCGCGGGTTATACCGTCGCAGCCAATCACGTCCCAATAAAATGTCATGCCCATCGAGTGTCGTCGCGAGCATTTCCTGTGTAAATCCGAAATTTCCCCCGCAGCGGACTTTGACTCTCTCCACCTTTTCCCGTATGGCCA